GCTGGTGGTGCTGCTGGTGGTGCTGCTGGTGGTGCTGGTGGTGCTGCTGGTGCTGCTGGTGGTGCTGGTGGTGCTGGTGGTGCTGGTGGTGCTGGTGGTGCTGGTGGTGCTGGTGGTGCTGGTGGTGGTCATGGTGATGGTGGTGCTGGTGCTGGTGCCGGTGCCGGTGCCGGTGCTGGGGCTGGGGCTGGGGCTGGGGCTGGTGCGACTGGTGCGGCTGGTGCTGCTGGTGCTGCTGGTGCTGCTGGTGCTGCTGGTGCTGCTGGTGCTGCTGGTGCTGCTGGTGCTGCTGGTGCTGGCGGTGCTGGTTGTTGGTGGTAGCGAAGATGATGACGGTGATGATTGCGGTGAGCTTAAACCCTTCGAAGAAAAGTGATTGTCGTGACGGTCCCAACGATGAGCCTCCAAGCGGTAGACCTCAACCTTGAACGCTGAATTCGATCAACACTCGACACTCAAAGCCCTGAACGCTAAACCTCAAATCTACTCCAACCGCAAGGGTACCCGCAAGAAGTCCGAGGTGCATCAAAAGCATGCCACACGTGTCCGCGCCGGAGTGGCTTGGGCTTCTTCTCGGCCAAGGCTTCCGCGACGGTTCGTTCTTCCTGGGCTGTAGCATTTAGGGTTATGGATGTCGACATGAGGCGGAACAGGAGGAAAACACATGATGACGAGCTATGTCAGTAGCTGCTGATACTTCGGCACAGTTGTCGCAGAACCAGCATCATTTTTCTCGTCAGGCTCATGATCACCACCTCCTTCTGAATTTGATGCATGTCGCGTTCAAGCTGTCCCCCGTCGGCAGACCTGCCAAAGACAACAGCAACGATGCTTCACCCTAAACCCTAAACCCTAAACCCGAAACCCTGAAGCCGACACCCTACACCCTAAACCCGAAGCCCTAAACCTTAACGTTGTTGACATGCGCAAAGACAATCGAGCAGGCTCCTGTGCAGTTCTTCGCCGGGTCCGTGCGAAGCTCCATAAGGAAGCCGGAAACCTTTTCAGCAGTTGGAGCTTGTGATTGTATGTGCATGTCTATGTGTTAATGCGTTTATGCATATGTATATATACATACATACTTACAGACATACGTACATACATACACACATACATCCGCACATGTGCACATCATAATGTGTATATATATATATATAGAGAGAGAGAGAGATAGATATAGATATAGATGTAAATATAGGTGTATATATATATATACAGATATACAGATATAGATATAGATACAGATATAGATATAGATATAGATATAGATGTGTATATATATATATATATATATGCAAGTCATCTCATATCGTGTTGTATCGTACTGTATCAGACCATACCAGATCACACTATACTACATTATCTGATACTCTAGATCATGCAGCTATAGCATTGTATCTCATGTTGTTGGGATTTGGGTTTGGTCCATCGGTGGCTCTTCGCTCCTAAAAGCGTTTCCCAGGTCTTGCTGCTGTCTGTGGGATGCGGCAAAGCCAGCAAGGGCACGTCCCAGGTCACCTTGGAAGCGGACGACCAGGTGCAGCGAATAAACGGGAAGCGAGCCCAAGTTTTCATCGCGAGGAAAAGGCAAAAAGACCAGGCTTGTGTTACTTGTAAACTTGCCCTAGACCCCAAACCCTATACTGTAAGCCTTAAAGCCGAGAGACGCTACAGTCGGCCTGGTCGATCGGTTTGGGCAGGTGGTAGATGCCTGGGTCTGTGGCTTCGTCCCCAGAGCCTCTTTGGGGCGAATGGTCTGGGGAGCATGTGAGATTCCCGGAGCTTTAGGGCTCGGAGATTGCTTACGCTCATCTCCACGAATCTTTCATGTAAGTAAGCAGATGATTGGCGATCCATGCTTGGGAATGCGCTTGTCTTTGTAAGTTGTCTGTTACGTGTGTCACTCTTTGATTCCTTCGTTCCTTTATAACCGTTGTATGATTGAGAAGCCGTCTGCATACATCAGGACTTAACCCCAAAGCTCCAAAGACCTAAATCCTTAACCTTGAACCCAGTATGGCCTGACTTGGTACTGGACCGCACACCCAAACCCAAGCCCCAAAACCAGACCACCGAGTCCCATCTACCACCAACCTATCCATATCGTGCTACCTTACCTCTGTGTAGACCAAACTGGGGTTGGTCATGCGCATCTTGGGCCAATGACCACCACACACCCAACATAGTGTTGGTACTTATTAAGGCCCCTATATGACCTTCCGCAAAAGGCTCCTCGACCTGCCTTCACACCCGGCCGGCGGTGTGCGGGGATTGTGGTGCTGCAAATTGCCGTGCGTAGGGCACCGAAACAAGCGGCCAGATCCACTCACAACCCCGTGACAGCAAACCGATGCGCTCAGTTGAGAAGTAAAAAACCGAATGCAACTCCTCCGAAAAACTGGGGATTCTTCAAGAACCAGACCGGATTAACAATTAACTGCAAACCTAGACAGATCAACTCGAGGACTTCCTGACAGGCCGAAGCCCAACTCGCACAGTCCCATGAAAACCAGTTGACCCGCCAAAACATTTCTTTTCAAAAGCCAAAACGACATTTACAGTGGATGCAGAGGCGTTCGCGGTGGGGTTGCAAGAGGATCTTAAAAGCTCACTAAACCCTCATTGGGTGTTCAAGCCTTGTAGGGGCGGTGGTGAAGTGACTTTACCGGCTTGGCATAAAGGGGGTACAGAGTGTCTACATGAAAGGGGTAGAGCGTTGTACGTAAAGGACAAAGCAACATCAGGCTTGTTTCATCGCTGGTAGTCCGTTTTTTTGCTGGAGAGTGCACAGTTTCGCCCGATTGAAGCCCTCTCCAGAAACCAAGCCTCAGAAGCCGAGAAGTGAACGAAAATATCAACGTTATTCAATGTTCTTAATGATAGGGTAGCCTGTTCATGTACGTATAATTAATATATATATATATATATACACATATATATATATATATATGTGTGTGTGTAATTCTAATATACTGTGTATATGATATATCTATATGAGCAGATCTGTCTCTATATCTATATCTGTATCTCATGTAGCATGCCACACTTTGCAACTGCCGAGTCTCCATCGGCGTGGACGAGATTCGGCTCACTCCGCTGCTGCGTGAGCTGTGTGAAGAAGCCTCCACGATCAGCACAGAGAGAGTTGTGCTATCAGGGTTTAGGGTTTAGGGTTTATTTAGGGGGGTTACTATATGGGCTCAACGTGTGAGAGAAAGAAAGGGAAAAAAAGAGGGAGTGAGAGAGAGAGAGAGAGACAGAAGAAAGAGCCAGTCATCCCAGAGAGGCACAAACGCGAAGGCCAAGAGACCCCTGCAAGGGTCAATGCCTCACATCTGTCTGCCTGTGGCTCACTGCATAAGGAATTACAGTGCCGTCACCGTCCTCGTGCATCTCCGTAGCTGGCTTCATCCAGAGGCAGCCACCAGCCCTTCTCTTCGTCAAAGGAGTAGTATTGACCTCACTGGCACAACTCCGAGCCGGGGTGTAGTCCCCTAAACCCCAAACCCTAAACCCTAAACCCGAAACCCTCAATTTCTACGGTTTCTGGGGCTTCTGGCCTGAGCCGCCGGTAGAGAAGAGGGTCCTCCGGTCCGCGGAGACGTAGATCTTGGACTGGCCCCAGCCGCAAGTGAAGCCCTGGCAGGCTTAGGGTTCACCTAGACCCCAAAGAACCTACCTGTTTAAGGACCTATAAAAGGGAAATCATAATAAGGAACCCTAAAAAGGTAGGTTCTTAAGGGATACTCCGGCTGCCGTGAACCATGCCCAAACCCTAAACTCCGCAATCCCTGAACCCTAAACGACGCTGAAGCCTCTACACCCGGCAGGGCCGGAGATGCTAAACCCTAAACCCTAAACCCTAAACCCTAAACCCTAAACCCTAAACCCTAAACAAAGAAAAAACCCGCAGGGTGCCTCCTTGCGGTACTTGGTGTCCGGCCCTGTCAGCCCTCGCCAGACCCCATCCTCCAGCGACTCAGAAGGAGGTTAATTACAAGTCGGGCAGGATTAGGGTCCAGGGGTTTCGGGTTTTTGGGGCTTAGGGTTTAGGGTTCAGCGTTTAGGGCGTAGACATGTTTAGACCATAAGCATTCCGACAAGGGTCGCGATAATGGTTGGTACTCCCTGGCTTAAAACGTATGCGTGTACGGCGATTTGGGGTTCCGGGATTTGGAGCTCGAGAGCTGTAGTGTAGAGCTTCAAAGCTTCGATGTTTAAGGTGCCCAGGTATGACAGAGCAGAATTGGTCTCGGGTTCTTAAAAGAAATCCCATGGGATCTCATGGTTAGGATGCATGAGGCCTCCAGCAGCACGATGCCAGTGTCAGGCTGTGCTTCGGGAGAATCCTGTGAAACGCCCCAAATCAACTGTGAGGCTGCGATTCATGGCAGTATGGCATGAGTGGCGTTGGCCATTGGCAAGCAACTGGTGGGCTGGATGCCAAGGCGCGTCACAGCGCGAGACGCTGTCCACACCCGTGTTCCCAGCATAGAAGCTGAGGCCTCACAGACGATTGAAATCTCCACTCTCGTTTCTCATTCTGGACTCTTGTCAGCCCGAAGCTGGCTAGGTTCGCTGAGCGGCTCCCGTCGGGGCGTCGGGTGAACTCGAAGCGGGGGTGCCACTGGTTGAAGTAGCCTCACACCGCGCTTTGCCAGAGCACGCAGTCGAGTCGAATGACCGCTCAGTTCTCGGACTTGGCCTGTTGTCAGCACGTCCACGCAGTGGCGCCAGACGTGTGGTCGAGGCGTGCCCAGGGACTGTGCCTTCAGGTACACGTAGCGCTTCTCCTAGGCGAGAGCCACACTGTGCTTGTCACCGAGTTTGTGAGGCGCGCTCGCCAAGGCACGACGAGACCCTGCGAACAGGCGGCATTGGCCTTCTCGATGGGCTGGAAACGGACCTTGTACTCTGCGTGCGCCGCTTCGGTGGCGGCATTCTGCTGAGTCCCCCTGCGTTCAACGCAACTGCAAGGCCAAAAGCACGAGCCACCGAGGCAGTCCGGAGCTCCTAGGCCCCGAACCCCTAAACTAAATCCGAAATCCGAAACCACCCCACCTCACTTCGAAGGTGCCATTGAAGATGATGCCGCCTGCGGTCGTCCGAACCGTGCTCTCCTTGGGGTGAAACTCACGGAGGCCAGGGTTTAGGGTTCGCGCTTGCACAGGTTGGTATTGCTAAGTGCTGACATATGTGTCATAACCATAATTATATTATAACTATGATTATGACTAGAAAGAATTACAACTCTCAGAATATCTTCACCTGGCTTCGCTTTTGCCGTTGGTGGGGACAAGCTGCGTGGCCATAGATGGATCGATCACCTGAGGCATGGCAAAGCTGGCAAGGCTCCGAGGTCCAAATCTCCCTTCTGCCCCCCCCGGTAACAGCAAGAAAGAGCAAGTCTAGTCATGGCGATTCATAAGACTGTTGGTCGGATTTAGGGTTTCGGGTTTAGGTTTATCGTTTAGGGTTTAGGGTTGAGGGTTTAGGGTTTCGGGTTTAGGGTTTAGGGATACTGTAACCCAGAAATCGCGAGCAAGTTGCCAACGGCTCGCCGGCAACTTCCTGCCAGGTCCCATCCACGAAATCGCTCACTGGCAGGGAGTCCAGAATGTCCCCAGTCCTGGGTCTTCGAAGCACTTAACTTTTAGGGTTTAGGGTTTAGGGTTTCGGGTTTCGGGTTTCGGGTTCAGGGTTTACTTAACAGCACCAAGAGCAACCTCCGATCTCACTGTGCGGTGAGGCACAAGTTGTCTACGGTGGCGAGCACGAAGCGCTCCACCCGGACCTCGGGGAGAAATGAGAAATGCCGACACCAGAAAATCGGCATTCGAAAGAGCCTTGCAGCGAGAAACCCAAAGCACTCCATCCCCAGAAAATCCGGCCTCCCCATGGCAAGCGCGCAGGTAGAGGCCGCGGGTATGATTGCCTGGGCTCGGGGCTCAGGGCATTTTGGGGCTTCTGGCTGGGGAGTCGATGCTGTCACAAGAAGGGTAAGTCGCTAAAGTAGGGTCCCTTTTTAGGTCCCCAGTATAGCACCCTGGTAAGAAAGGACCCGAAAGGGGACCCTGATTTAGAGAACTAGAAATAAGAGTCTTGTGTCGTGACAACATTGACATGTCCTGTGCCCGGCAGCCTCGCAGTTACGAAACTTTCCTGAACCACTCAGGTTCAGGCGTCCTTGCTGTTCGGAGCGGCACTCTTCAAGGGTTTAGGGTTTAGGGTTTAGGGTTTAGGGTTTAGGGAGGGAACAGAGTTTGAGACGACAGGCTTTCAACTTCGGCTGGAGTTCACTTCTCGGGCGTTCGAAGTCGTTTCAACTCGGATGCTCTGCGAAGTCGAGCTTTCCCCCCGAGCTTCGAAGACTCTGAAAATCCAAAAATCCTAAACACTAAAGCCCTAAAGCCCTAAAGCCCTACACCCCTAGACCCCTACACCCCTAGACCCCTAAACCCCTAAACCCTAAACCCTAAACCCCCTAAACCCCTAAAACCCCTAAAACCCCAACTAAACCCCAACTAAACCCCTAAAAGCCCTAAACCCCTAAACCCCTAAGACTCTGAAATCCAAGGCACCGCCCCAGGTCGGGAGGCTGAAGCCTTGCGGCTTCCAACCTCAGGGTTTTTATGGTTTAGGATTTTGGGTTAGGGTTTAGGGTTTATGGTTTAGGATTTTGGGTTAGGGTTTAGGGTTTATGGTTTAGGATTTTGGGTTAGGGTTTAGGGTTTATAGTTTAGGATTTTGGGTTAGGGTTTAGGGTTTAGGGTTTAGGATTTTTGGTTAGGGTTTAGGGCTTATGGTTTCGGACTCGTGGGATTTTTTGGAGTTTAGGGTTTAGGGTCTGGTTTAGGGCTCAGGGTTTTGGGCTCAGGGTTTAGGCCTGAGTGTTCGGGTCCGCTGTTTCGGGAACTCCTGTGTCATGCCGTCGGGTGGGGGTCAGGTCTTCTCTGACATGATTCGCCTGTCAGCCGTGGATGGAGGATGGCACAGGGGTTAGTGTTGGGGCTTTATTGTGCTTTCGGTGCATCAATTCTGCAACATGTCCTGAGGAATGTCCTGGCTGCAACCCAGAAACGCGCTACTAAAGTCTCCAAGTTTGCTTTGCAAGCTCCCCTGTTAATAAGCATTTTAAAAGCACCATATACCCCAAAACCCCAAAAACCTTCAAACTCTCCGAAGCCCGCGATCCCCAAAACCCGAGAAAACTGCCCCAACTCCTCCGAGGCGACCAAGACCCGCTCCCCCAAGCCCCAACCCCAAATCCTGATAATCTTACGACTCATTGTAACAAAAACAGTAGAAGTGTCATACGCATGAACTTACTGTAGGAGTATCCTTAATAGTAGAATAGTGGTCATACCAATAAACCCTAAGCCAAAAAAATCCCCAAAAATCCTAGGCTTCTGGGCCCCAAGCACTGAGGCTTCACCTCGGGATCTTGATCCGCCTGGCAGAAGCCAGGGCGGCTTCCAAAACCGATATTCCCAAGCTACGGTTGATGATACAAATCCTGCATTACTCATAATAAGAAATATACCATAATAATTCCCATAGCTTAGGGTCCTTAAGGTAATGCAGGATTTATATCATCAACAGTATCTGGCTTTGGAATCTCTCAGTCAACCGAACACACAGCGGCCGTGCCCCGCAGAGCTTGCCGTTCCCGTACTTGACCTGCTCGCGATGCGTGTCGCGGGCCTATCTGCTCAGCCATGTGTACAAACAACCGACTGACCAAACACAGGGATGCATTCAAAAACACGTCTGTGTGCATGTTATGTACATATATATATATATATACACATGCACATGATGTGTGTATATATATAATATACGGTAACATAGATGAGATTGGATGTCTCTGCAGTAAACTGCACTTAGAAGCTTGATCCTGCAATGCATGCAGCCCTGAAGTTTCGGCGCTCTAGACTCAGAAAGAGCTGGGGTTCCCTTTGTTCGTCGGGTCCTTCTACAGCAAGATGGTTGATCGTCTGCTGAGGCTGCTAAGCGCAAAGGCTGCGCGAGGGTGCTACAAAGGATAAGAGCTCGCGTGATGCCAAAACGAAAGCGAGGTTTGGGGTCTCAATCTTACGGCGTCGACTTCTTATCCAATCCCCAATGCTGCACGGCCCTAAGGAGCTTATAGGTAGCCTCCAGAAAATACAGGAGTGGCCTTAACAGTTCAAACAGGGTATAGTACGCGAATAGAGCAATAAGGAAGCCCTACAGAATACGAATCTAGCCATCGGTCTTCTCAAGATTCAAGCCGGGGCATGAAATCTTAGGGCTTAACATATGGGTAGTGCTCCGCATGAGGGTCCCTTTCTCGGAACCCGCCCCCTCTATGTTCAGCCATTACAGGACCCTCAAACCCTGGGATGTTTTTTCAGGGCTTTGTTGTCTGAGAACGACCCTAAACACTACTGTTGATGATATAAATCCTACGTTACCTTAAGGACCCTAAACTATGGGAATTATGGCATATTCCGTATTATGGGCAATGCAAGATTTATATCATCAACTGTACCAAACCCTACTTTTTGTAGGGTCCCCTATTTCTACGGTAGGTTTATGATAGAAGCAAACCTACAAAACGATAGGTCTTCGGTTGTGGCAGTTCGATTCAAGGTAGGGTTTCTAGGGGCAGTGCAAGGCTTGATTGAAGGATTCCGGATCTGAGGGGTTAGGGTTGAGGATGGTTTTGGGTTTAGGGCTTTAGGGTTTAGGGCTTTAGGGGTTTAGGGTTGAGGATGGTTTGGGATTCGGGGTGTAGGGCTTTAGAGCTTTAGGGTTTAGGGCTTAGGGTGGTATTGAAGTTCCTTTACCTTAGCTATATGCTACCACCCCTGTACACAAGAACAGGCCCTTCATGTAAGATGTAACATTTACACATCTACCGTATTGCCTCAGCTCTGGAGGACCCTCACTCAGAGTGCTGATGACGGACGAAAGCCGAGGCCCAAGCCCCCAGGATTTCGAGCATTGTGTTGAAAGGTCTGATGTTCTTTACCCTACACCCCTAAACTCCTAAACCCCTAAACCCCCAAACCCCTAAACCCCCAAACCCTTAAATCCTAAACCCCTAAACCCCTAAACCCCTAAACCCTAAACCCCTAAACCCCAAAAGAAGACCCCCGCTCTGACCAAACCTGCTGCTTCCCGCTCCAGGAGGCCACGGTGCCGTTGAATCCGGAGACTCCCTGGCAGTTGGGGCAGCCTGAAGGGAGCGCTTTAGGGGTCTTGGGGTTTAGGGTTTTAGGGGTTTTGGGGTTTAGGGCTTTGGGGTTTTAGGGTTTAGGGTCTTAGGGTTTAGGGTTTTGGGGTTTAGGTTTTTTTTTGTTGAAGGCCTTTTTCCACCTGTTGGAGCGTCCTTCAGTTGGAATCCGCTTTGCAGAAGGCTAGTTTGTCGGAACCCTTCAGTTGCCCCCTGTTCTTGATCAGCTTGATGATCTCGCGTGTTCTCCCCCAGCTCCGTTGCTTCTTCCCGGTTAAGGGTTCAGGGTTTCTGGGTTTAGGGTTTAGGGTTTAGGGTTTTTGGGTTTAGGGTACAATGCACAGGGCAAGAATCGAAGATCCCCCGGGGCCACTTTGGAATGCCAGCGAGTTGAGCAGAGCTGGGAGCGCCCTTCAGCACAGTGCCTCGGGTGTAGGTCTTCAGCGTCTTGCCACGGAAGTTCGGCAAGTCCGGAGTCGCTCTCCTGCGACTGCAGGGTTTAGGGTTTAGGGTAAACCCTAAACCCCTAAACCCCTAAACCCTAAACCCTGAATCCTAAACCCTAAACCCTAAGTCAAGGGATCTATGGGATCCCCACGTCAGAGCCCTGGCTGCCTCCACACTCCATCGTCAAGATCGTAACTCCAGATGGCATACCTCGTGCAGCGAGCACGCACAGGCTCTCTCTTAGGCTTCGGTCCTGGAGGCGCACGAAGCGCCAAGTAAAGCCTCATCTAGGATGCCTTATAAGTACCTCGTCTAGCTGTCAAGGAGTCAACGCCCGTATAGTATATATTCTAGCTATAGTATATTATCGTATATATTGATATATATATATATATATATAATAATAATAATAATAATAATAATAATAATAATAGTATATTATCATTACCGACACAGAACCCACGACATGGGACCCGCCTGTCGCGGGTTCCCGACTCGGGAATCTGATCCGGCGCCGGCCACTCTGCTCTCCTTGGCAACACCAATGCGAGCCCCAAACGTAGCGTGCCCCGCACGGGTGTAGCGTTCAGGGTGCTAGGGAGGTTTAGGACTTGAAGTTTAGGACCTTAGGGCCTTAGAGCCCTAGGGTTTGGGGCCCAAAGCTCACCAGGGCCCTCCCATCCGATCCCAGGAGCCGCTTGAGCATCACATAAATTCTACCGTCTGGGCCAGCACGCCAGGGATGGGCGTAACCTCCGCAAACGAGACAGTGCATTCAGGGTTTGGGGGTCTAGGGTCTTTGTCTGTTCACACCTTTTCTTCCGATGGGTGTGCCTTAGTGTACCCCTCGATCATCCACCAACAAGGCTTTCAGTGGTGTTTTTTGTTAAACCTCTTTTCCCTCAGCTAGTCGCGTCCCGAATTCGTAGTACTTAGGTTTTTTTTAGCGCAATGGAGCGGACTTTACCACCATCCCAGCCACTTCGGCCCACACTAAAGGTGAGACTGCACATCCACTTGATCCTGGACCCCAGTCGTCCCATGACTCCCAACTGGACTCAACCGACCGTCGCCAGGTGCATCATCTGCGGTTTAGGGTTTAGGGTTTAGGGTTTAGGGTTTAGGGTTTAGGGTTTAGGGTTGAGAGATAGGGTTTAGGGTTTGGGGTTTAGGGTTTGGGGTTTAGGGTTTAGGGTTTAGGGGTTAGGGCTTCAAGGCTTTTAGGGTTTTCAGAAGGCCTTGGTAGCGGTTGTCGCTGAAGGTCTCGGGGTAGGCACCCACTTCGTCAGCAGCTGGGAACTCCTCCCGTCCGAGAAAAGAAATACGTGAGGGACTTTCACTGAACGAGTGTCTGTGTGTGTGTGTGTGTCTGTATGTCTGTATGTCTGTATGTATATGTGTATATATATATATATAAATTTTCACAGAGCACCTCTTCATCTATGCATAAAACATACAGATAGACAGACAGACAGATAGATAGACAGACAGATAACTACACACACACACACGTAAAAGCTGTAGGGATTCAGAGACTCTCAGATAGTCCGGGTCTTGGTCGCAGAAGGCTCCTCGTTCTTGTTCCAGACGCCTATGAGGGACTCCCAGTCGCTCGTGCTGTTTCGGCGATACCAGGCATACCTGGGGTTTTGGGGTTTAGGGTCAGGGTTTAGGGTTCGGGGTTTAGGGTTTAGGATTCGGTTTAGGGGGTTTAGGGTTGAGAGTTCGGGGTGTAGGGCTTACGGGGTTTAGGGTAGCAATGATTATGTAAACACTTCTCTAGTAGAACTGTCCATCCAGTTGCACATGCCAGTCACGCCTGCGATGCAAGTTTCGTGTGTCTGCTGATGGGCTTCTGTTGCAAGAGCCATCGTGCACCGCGCACATTTGTGCAGGTTCACCATACAGCATTCTATGTGTATTTTAGTGACGTCCTCAGTCTTGCTTTCCACAATTTGCTCTTGACAGCACCTTTGAATGCGCTCATCGCCAGCGAGGCGACATGCAGGGTAGGCGACAAGGGCAGATCATGAACATCGACATTCGCGATCGAAGGCTGTATTCTTTTGAGACCTTAAACATTTACATGTGCGATCGAAGGCTGTAGTCTTTGCTTTTAGGGCTTAGGCTTAGGGCGCGAGTTCCAAATTGGGAAGTCTGCTGCGGAAGAGCTAATTCCGTCATCCGGGATCCCCAGTGACCTGCAAGAAGACCCAAGTGACCTGCGGAGGCCGAACTTGGTGACAAGCATGAGGCCCGTCTCGCCCATGGACAACTCGCCGCCTGCGAGTACTTCGGTAGCCAGGAAAGAAGGCTCGAATGACAGGGCGAGTCGTCGGGCGTCGGCATTCTGGCTTGGGACAACAGCGCTCAACATCTTCAGAAACGTTCGGCTATTCTGAGCCATGCGGCCGCTGCCGAAATTCGTCGTTGCGTTCCAGACCTCAGAGGGGATGCCGTGGGAGGCTTCGGAGGCATCAGCGGACGCTTCTCCGGGCCTTCACCATGGAAGCGTCCGATCCCTCCACGTCCACACGGAAGAGACCTGGCACTGTGAAGAACCCCTCGCAGCATAGCATCTAGGATTCATGCCTCTGTGCCACCTTCAGCCTCCATCACCCTATCCGAATCGCTACAATCCCATATCCCGGCACGAGAGCACTACACCCTCAACTCCTCCGAAATGTGTGCGGAAATCAGATGCGGACGACCTCGGCTCGTGAGGAGGTAGCTCGGTCCAGCTGGTGGCTGTGTGGCCATTCCTTTCTTTGGATTTGGGTTTCTTTGGTAGGTTCTAGGTTTTTCCATGTTTGGTTCCAGGGTTCGGCTTTAGGCCTTTCAGGAGCCACAGGGCAGCACAGCACAGCTACGGCCGGCTCAGAGAGCTTCACCTGTGGAGAGCAGCATTGTGAGGCCCTGCAAGATTTCCCTCGGAACATCATCTTGGCGTACTTCTGAACCCATCCTAAAAGTTAAACTTTTAGCCTAGATAATATAGTTCATAGAGAAACCCAAACAGTTAAAGTCTAAAGAACCCACCAGAAGAACGCTAAGTCATCATCATCATCATCATCTCTGGATGTAAGACGAGGAATATGAGGAAGAGAGCTTGCGAGAGCAAGCGCTCACGGCCATCTCGGCGGCCCGCCCAGCATTCAAAGCGACAGCAGCAAGTCATGGCATCCCAAGCGGCCGTAGATGGCGTATCGGAAGCGCGGGGCCCCCGGCAGCGTGGTCCAACTATCGCGGCTGGCCAGGGCCACCCAGGCATGCCATAGCCTCAGAGGATTAAGGACCTCATTCAAGGTTTCAAGGTGATGTGGCAGTTAGGGAACATAGGTCTTACTAGTGTTTGCCAGGTGGCAGAGCTGTCAGCACAAGGCTAAAGCCCGGCATGCTGGGACTGAAGCACATGTCGCTTCAACCCCACGCAAGATGCGCGAGCAACCTGGCTACGTCCCTGAAAGGCCCCTTTCCCAGCCGGCAGAATTCTGAGAGCTTCATGGCAGCGGGATCGCAACACTTCCGTATACTAAACAGCTTGGCAAGTTTGCGCTTGTGTACGCCAGACCCTTTTCGGTATGTCACAGCCTCCCACTGCAGACCGGATGCCTTGACAGCCACCCTTTCCCCAAGCACTGCGAGAGCCGATGAAATCCTCTCGTCGGAGCTGAAAGGGCTCTTTAATGGTCCGGTAGACGAGATTTCATCGGACGCAGAGATCTACCCAAAAAAAACTCCATGGGTGGCGTCTGGAGCTGCAATGAGCAGGGCCCCAGCTTTCCCTGCTGACTCATTGCCAGCTCTCAACCCCGGCTCGCGACTTTGCGCGGCAGGCCAGCTTACCCCGTGCAAGCTCTGCCGACATCTTTCACAGCGTGTGTGTGTGTGTGTGTGCCACATCTATACTTGCAAGCCTATGACAGCCTGTTTTGCGCACTTGTCTGCCTTGTTTCTGAGATCACATGTTGATGGCAATGCTCTCACCGAGGGCGTCACTGCTTCGAAGAATCCTTAGACCAAGCTCCCAAAGCCAACACCCCGACATTCGTGGGGATGTGAAGCGCTTCTTCCCGTCACCTGCAGACCGTTGAAAAAGAAACCTAGATTTCTAGGGTCTACTAAACTGAAGACCCATGCCAATGACCCGAACATAGCCGTTGCTGCTACTGCCGCGACGTCGACGACCACCGACACCAAAAGTGCCGGTAGGACTCTTGAGATCTACTGTGCTCTACGAGGTTGCAGCTTCTCGTGAACCCTAAACCCTAAACCCTAGAAACCCTAAACCCTAAACCCTGAACCTGAGGCCAAGACCGCAACTGGCGCCGGATTGCCCGCCGCCTCTCCCTTCGCGGCATCTTTGGCCTGTCGACTTCGCGTTTTCAGTCGGTGCATGTCCCCTGGCCCAGGCTCAGGCCCCGAAAACCTCACACCCTCAGCAAAGCCCACGGAAGTGAGTGGTTGTCAAAATTATGGTCCCTTTTTGGGTCCTTATTATAATACGGCACCTATTATTTAGGGGCACCCCAAAAGGGACCATAATTTTGACACCCACCCAAGTGGGCATAGAACATCACAGGGCGGCACTTCGGGAAGATAAGGCCTTCTTCTTGTGATACACACCTGCAACAGCTCAGCCGCAAATGGCCGGCATCTCTGTCTCCACTAACTGGGTCTCGGGCAGCTCTCTTTGAAGAAATCGTTGGGACTATTGCCAACCTCGCAGGTGCCAGAAACAAGGCGGAACTTGCCTCATACCTAGACAAGGACTTGCGACATCTCGGCCACTGCTGAGTGGTGAACGCCATCGCCCTCATGATTCGGATGCTGCGACCTGGTGTAAAACGCGTTCGTATACACCCATAGCTGCTAAAGCGTTTGTATGTGTGTATATATATATATATACATGTATATATACACACACATATATGGAGCGAGCATATAATATCTATATACATATATACTCTTCTTGGAAAGATCTGCTCTAAGATCAGCTCCGGCACAGACAACGAAGCTCCAGCTCTATCGGCCCCAGGCTTGAAGTACTCGATGCAGGCCTCCTGGTAACGCTTGCCTTGTTTAGGGTTTGGGGTTTAGGGTTTTAGGGTTTAGGGTTTTAGGGTTTAGGGTTTCAGGGTTTCGGGTTTAGGGCTTTTTTTGGGGGGGTTTTAGGGCTTTTTTTTGGTTTAGGGTCTTAGGGTTCAGGGTTTAGGGGCTTAGGGGCTTAGGGTTTCGGGTTTAGGACTTATAGTTGATATCCTGGTGAAGCTTCCCTTGCGTCACGGCTCCCATGGCTCTGGGGATGAAAGGCTCAGGGGCTAAGGGCTTTGGATTTCGGGATTTCGGTGGTTTCGGGTTTAGGGTGTAGGGTCTAAGGGGTTTCGGGGTTTAGGGTTTAGGGCATCGGGCTTAGGACTTGTATAGGATTATGGGTTTCAGTTGCATGCTTCTCCTCCTCCTCCCCTCACCCGACCTGAACTCCTGACTCCCCGGATCCCTTTCCTGAATTGCCATACAGTCAGGCTCGGATCCCCTAAACCCTACTTTAACCCCCAAATAACCTACGTTTTTGAGGACTTCTATAAAGAAACCACAATAAGGAACCCTAAAAAGCTAGGTTCTTTAGGGTCCAGGTATACCCTAAACTCGATTCAGGGAGGGTGCCGTTGTTGCACCCTCCCAGACCCCCCAGAAGCAGCCTCACAAAACCTTCTCAACCTGAACCTTGCCGGCGCCCCGAAACCTTATCCCTGAGCCCCCAAATCCCAAAACCCACCCTAAACCCTAAACCCCTAAATCCTAAACCCTAAACCCAAACCCCCAAACCCTAAACCCCTAAACCCTAAACCCCTAAACCCTAGTAGCCGTCTTTCTCCCTGCTGCGAGGGAACCCTCAAAGGAAAGCCCAGGGCCAGGAGCCCTGCCGTCTTTGATCAGCCGCTCGATCTCCCCGGCGTATGCCTCGCTTGCGGCAGCTCTTGGGTTCTTGGTCATAAGGGATATAAGTGTTATAAGGGCTACAAGGGCTATAGTGGCTACAATGGTTGTGAGTGTTATGAGGGTTATAAGGGTCAGAATGGCGATAATGGTTACAAGTGCTATAAGGGTTATAAGTGTCATGATGGCCATAATGGTTATAAGGTTAGGGGTTATGAGGGACATCAGTTCTTCGTAAGAAAGCCCCGGTCCCGTGATCTTCCTTTCTTGGTGATGGCATCTGATGTGTAAGATATACAAAAATCGTTAAGTGCACCGTGGTTAAAGGGATCCCTTTGGGCTCTCGATGGTGTATGGCTTTTTCGAGCTTTGCGTCGAGGAATTTGATTTGAGTTGCCATACGAAGGATCTACAATAATCTTTCTGTGCTTTCTGTACTACTGACTGAGACAACCTTAAACCCTAAACCCTAAACCCTAGACCCTAAACCCTAAACAGACTAAAGCCCCGAAAACTCTCTCAAATTCTGGCAACTTAAATTAAGTCCCTAAACCAAAAACCCTAAACCCCCTAAACCCTAAACCCTAAACTCGGAACCCTTCAGGTGCCAGGCCGAGGGCACGCGCCACCTCCACAGGCAGAGAAGATGCAGACATTTGGGTTTTTTTTTAAAAAAATGCAGTAGCCCCCTTTCTCTCGCACGAAGGTCAGAAGACTCGCTCATGTGAGCGTGCACAATCCAAACAAAACTAATCAACCTCCTCCACTGCGTTTGACTCGACTTCATCGGCAACACTCTCAACCGCGTCGTCAGTCGTAAGCCGGGCTTCAGCGAGGGGCGCTGCGGTTTCACCTCCACCCATGTCATCCCTACTTCTGCTCCGCTCACGAGGTGGTAGAGGGTGTCTTGGAGTCGCCGTCGCCGATCCCATGGAGGAGGTCGCCGTCGCCGATCCCGGAGAGGTAGCGGGCAGAGTATCCATTGTCCCCGTCGCTCGTGAATGTCCTCCTCGGTGACGTTGTCCACGACGACGTTCACCCACCCCGTTGTAGCGGCGCGCGAGGAACGGACGAGGAGGCGGCAAGCATCCCGTAGGGTGGTTGGGCACAGGGACTTCACCGTCCGTCTGGAGCAAGCAGAGGTCCCGATCAGCTTCAGGGGGCCAGGACCCGCATGGTGTATCTCTGCCAGTCCTTCGAAACAGTCTATCCACGTGAAGACGCCAAGCACGACGACGGAAGTTGGCGAGCGTTGGCTCATCATAGCCTGGGAGCGCTTCTTGGATCGCCTGCAGGCTGTTGGGGAAGCCCGGCTGGAGCAAGACGGCCGGTTGACCTGGAGGAATGACTGTGAATGTCCCCGTCGGTCCGTGACCATTGCCAACCTCCACACCAATTACTCTCCACAGATTGGCGTCCATTGTGGCTGCGTTGAAGGGAAGTTCGTGTCGGGGAACTTGGATGAGGCCTAGTGTTTCTTCAATTGCCTCCGCCACCAGTCTGTCGCAATGTCGAAGGGCACGTTGACGATCAAGTAGCCTCCTCAGCAAGTCAAGAAGGTCTGCCTGTCCCGCCACAGAGGTCTCCGCGATCACAGCGTCACGGACAACATCAGCCGGCCAAAGTATTCCTGAAGAGCTCGTGCTGGTAGTCGAGGACGTAGATGTCACCCTTAACCAGGAGAGGCTCTGCATCCACGAAGTTTCATCCCCATGAACCAGGTCGAAAGGGTCATCCACCATGGGCCCAAGGGGGAAAGAGGCGGGGGAGGACAGGTTCACGCTCACGAAACTTTCCCCAAAACAGGCGTGGTCTTGTTGCAGGCCAGGTGTGGAGGAGAAAGGCCAAGTGGGCGAGGTACTCCAGGACATAGCGCTGCACCCTGTGGTAGACGAGGTGGTAGTCGTCGTGGATGACGTAGACGCGGTGGGTGGCATACTAGGAGATGTCGTCCTTCCGAAGCGGCTCACATCGCTTGACAAGTCTTCGAGAGGAGGATCACGCCAGATTCCAGGCAGTTGGGAAGGATCAACGGGTTCAGCCGAGAGCGCCGGGTCATCTGCGGGAGAACCTTCCTCTGAATCCTCCTCCGCATCGTCATCATCTGAGCTGGCAGAGCGAGGCCGGCGCACAGGACTGCGACTACGTTCATTCACTCTTCGCTGACCGGAGGAGGAAGCAGGTGCTTGAGGAGGAGGTGCATGGAACCCCAACATCGCCCCTTCTGAAGGACTAGTCTCCTGTGGTTGAAGAGGTGCTCCAAGGCTGTGCTCCAGGTTCTGGGTGAAGATGGAGGTGAACTGTCTCACCCAGTTGAACCAGCGGATGCGCGCCAATTCTTCCCCAGGTATGCGCTGTAGAGGCAGGTATCCCCTCGGTTGTAAGCGGCGGTGTAGAATAGTGAGCATGGTACCAAGGGCTTCCAGACCATCTTCGAGTCGGTGAACTAGTCGTGCGACTGCCCACCTTGCCTC